ACCTTGTACCATCACCACCTCCACATCTGAGTGAGAGCTGATGTGCAGTTACACTTAAGGGGCTATGGAGTAATTTGCAGTAAGTTTACACTGCCTCTATAAAGCAAAAAGCAATAACTGGATTAAGATATATCCTAGTGCCAGTTACAAATGCAAATATCTATCTTGGGAAGGGAAATACATTTATTCAGCAACATCCCCATACACATTAAAATTTACTTGAGTTAGTAAATTAGAGCAGCGGAGCAGTGTGGAACCCTTCATTTGACTTTTAGGTTGTTAATTTTTCAATTGCATTAAGTAAAAATTAGTGTAACTTATATTGAACTTATAGTCACATTCCAACAAGTGTTTAATCAATCAGTCACTTAATAGTTTCATAAATGTGGGCAAGTTAACTTGCCTAATTTGTAAAAATAGAGCTACCACCGCACCAGGTAATTGTTTACAGTAAAATGTGTGAAGCACCTAGAAGCATAGAAAGCCTCTGATCCCAGATATTTTGAGCATGAGTGCTGCCAACTTATCCTAGGGCAGTGGAAGAACAATGTGATATTTTCCCAAATTCTGTTAGCTCTGTTGAAGCTCTCTCACCATCTCAGGGACACTTAGCAGGTCAGTTTACTCCAAACCCTGAGCCCATAGCCATTTACCATCACTAACCTGCCTCAGCACAGCATTAGGGTCTCCAGATAGATATGATACAGAGCCCTTTCTAGAGAAATGCACATTTGCTATTCCTATGATCAGAGTCTCTGCATGGTATTCCCCTCTTACTCTGTAAGCTGGGCTGAACAAGGTAGAAACCACAAGTATATCTTTCTCTTAGACCCAGAGCAAAGCCAGGACACCTTTTCTCATAAACTCAGGGCTCTGAGAGTAAAGTCACAACCCCTCCTTTAAAAGGAGAAACATTCAGATATCTAAACTGAGGTAAAAAAAATAATTAATAAATAAATAAATAAATAAATAAAAGGAGAAACAAACCCTCTTAAAGTTCTGCAGGAGAGAGGGAAGATGAGTCACTACAGGAGAGTGTTGATTCCTTTGTTCCTTCAGAAGGCTGGCCCCATCGCATTCCTCACATCTTTGATGTGTCTTTTAATGCTGACCAGAGCATGATGTTAGTTAGATTGGGGGGTGGGGGAGGACCTGTGGTCAACATGTGCTTTCAACGCTTGCTCTAAGTGCCTCAGTTCGAGTTCATCCTCCCCTGCTATGAAGTCTTATAACACTTGCCTGTTCTTATCTACAGCTCCCATTTTTATGGGAATAGCTTTTCTCCTTAAGTTGAGGATAAACTCTTTGAAGACTGGGTGGACAGTTAAGAAGCAGATTGCGAAGATAACAAGCACCTGCTGAATGTTTGTCATTGATAATCAAGAGGAAGATCCTCTTGTTTGGGAAAAGTATTTGATAAAAGTGATAACTCCTGCTTGGTGTGGAAGGAATTTGGAAGTCCTCTTATGAATTAAGAAATGTCAAAGAATAATGTCTGGAGGGGTCACCAGACTAGGAAAATGGGTCAAGCAAGACGCATGAGAAAAACAAGACATCCACCAGAAGAGGAAGTGGATTTTGAGGCCAAGAGTAAGGTCAATGCTGCAGACACTGCAGGAATAACCACAAGGAGAAATTCCAGCCAGGAGGGGGCCAACATGTCAACTCAAGCCCAAGCATAGGGAGCAGTTAGTGGGTAGATCTGCATTTGAACTGTTCTTTGGGGTCTCTTATGTGGCATTGGGGGATACCCACTGTAGGACTTTGGACCACTGTGATTTGTCTATTGCAAAACATTGTTCATAGTTGTTGTTTGTTTATCTCTAAATAAAACTTGGTTTTACTACACTGCAATTATTGAACTTGCAAGTGGAGGAGTTCATACTAGCTTTCCAATGGACAGTTTTCTCAGGTTTTGGCTCATGCCAAGGAATATGATTTTGGAGTCAAAAAATTCCATCATTTAAACCAAGCCTAGTTTCCTCTTTTCTGAAATGAAGATATTTCTCATCTTAACAAGGCTTTGCTTTTAGCACTTTGCCAAAGATACAGTAGACACTTCATGAATATTAATTTCCTTCCTTTCTTTATGTCATATATATATCTCGCAAGATGATTATAACTTGAGACATTAGTGCATATGTAAGCTGTAATTGATGTTTCCTATAAGAAAGCAAAGGAAATTGCCTGAAACTCCAGAGTCATTGAAGAAAGCCCAAGAAGGCATATCATTACTTTAATATTGTTCTTCCCCTAAACAGGTGACCTATGATACAAAGCAAACTGTCTTTAAATGAAGTTCTTTTTGTTTTATGATATGTTCAGTTTTCATAAAATCAACTCTTATAATTAATTTACTTCCTTTTAAGAAGGAAATAATCTTTAAGCAGCACCTATTCTTTTTATTAACTTTCTCATGCATTATGATCCTTTTGTATCTACATCACACATAATTTTAATTTTAACGGCTATTTAAAGTAATTCTAAATGACATTTTCATTGGCTGATATTTGTCATCTTGAAAATTAGTAGATTTTGCCTATATTGGCACATATTTCTAACTATCCATTTAGACATTCTCCTAAGCATGCTTATCACATCAAAAGGATATATAAACAAATAATTTTTAAAACAAAACTGAGGATATAGTATCCATGTTACCATCTGTATGTATCCCATAACATCATATTGTAAAAATCAAATAGACACAATAAAAAAAAATTTTTTTTCTTTGAGACAGTGTCTCTGTCAATCCCCCGCAGCTAGAGTGGAGAGGCTTGATCATAGTTCACTGTAACCTTAAACTCCTGGGTTCAAGTGATCCCCTTGCCTCCGCCTCCCACGTAGCTGGGACTACAGGCATGAGCCACCATGCCCAGATATTTTTTTCTATTTTTGTAGAGATGGGATCTTGCTCTTGCTCAGGCGGGTCTCAAATTCCTGACCTCAAGCGATCCTCCCACCTCAGTCTCCCAGAGTGCATGAGCCACCACGCCCAGCTGACACAATAAAATTTCTTGAGAAAAACTCCCCAAACTGAGAAAAATGGCAAGCAATAATTTTTTCTTAGTCTTAAAAAAGAGTAAACACAAACTTATCATTTTTCTCTGCATGACATTATAAACACCTTTTGATGTAGTTAACAGACACTAATAAAGTCAAAGGATATTGATTATATGTACATCATTATGTTAAAGAAGGAAATGTCTATTCAGGCCAAATTACTGTCTGTTAATCAGTAATAATCATTAGTAAATAATAATGTACTTGGATCAACAAATATTTCTTGAGAATCTATTATAAGCTCAGCACCATGCTAGGTCCTATAAATGTGGGTTCGAATGAGACCCCTTATCTCTTACTAGCTACATTGTATATTTAAGTATACATCAAAGAATAGAAGTATATTTAAATGCAAAATTAAACGTAAAATGCAAAATTAAAGCTTAATATTTAAAATGCAAATTTTAAATGCAAAATTAAAGCTTAATATTTAAAAACATTAATTTTATCAGAAAAATTAATCAACAAAGAAACCAGAAAGTTGAGGCAAAATGGAAACTCAGCCATAACAGCTTCTAGATTGATGGACATTAAGCTCGCTGGACGCTATTATCTTCCTTTAAAATTTGGACTCGTTATAGGAAGTGCTCTCTCTTCACAGGTCAGAGTAGCAATAGCAACTGAGATCAGAGGGTTGGAGGAGCAGAGATAGAGTTCATACAATGTACTAGGTGGGATTCTCGTCCACAACTCTTTCCCCCATCCCTCACCTTGTAAACCCACAGCACATTAGAGTGGGCAGAGTATATTCCCCCCTCTGTTGGTGATGTGCCCATACAACTTGTTCTGGTCAATGGAATGTCAGTGACCATGACATGCACAAAGGACTTAAATGTGCTTGTGTCCTTTGGCTGAGATTCTTGCACCCCTGTGATTGCCGTGAAGAGAGAGTATGCACCAGCCAGCTGCTGTCCCTTCAATCTGGGCCCTGCAGTGAGACACAGAGGCAGTAAGACATGCACAGGACCTAAAATCTGTTAAGCCAAGATGACCTAAAGCCTGAAGCAGACCTACCTTAGCTGACCCATAGACCTGTAAGCAAAAAAAAAAAAAAAAAAAACACGAATGCTTCATATTGTAAGCTACTGAATGTTTTGGGGATATGTATGCAGGATTTGGGGATCAACAGGTGACTAATATACCATTGCTGGTTAAAATAAACAGCACAAGTTTGTTCACATTGGCAGGTCCAGATTATAGCACTCTAATAGTATGAAGACTTTATGGATTTTAGACAGAGACTCTAACAAGTTAAACTAATTTTAAACAATTAGTTTAAAATCTCTAATAGAAGTAATAACCAGCATCAATGTAGGAAATTATGCGACACAGGTGGGAATCAGTAGAAAGTGCAGAAACAGAGCCATGAATGAACAAAGCAGGTCTAGCACATCATAGGCTTGTCTATTAAGTTACTGAGAGCTGGCACGTCCCAATGGCAAACTGACACAATCATCACACTTGAATTCTTTTCCTGTTAACAACACAAAGCTTCTCTTTTCCATTTATAACTGAAACACACTTTCCTAGATCAAAGACTTTGGCTTAAGTAATTTAATAAAATGAAACTTTGATATCCATATAATTTGGAAGGCAGTGAGTGATGTTTTTCTTTGTTTTAGCTACTGAGGAAGTACAGAGGCACATATCATATAAATTACACATTTGTACCAAGAGAAGGTTGAATATTGTCACAGTATGCTTGGTGTATGAAGGTGTTGCAATGGTTCAAACTGAGAAAAATGATGTACATAGTGCACACCCTGTGTGTAGGACACAAAGGAATGCAGAACTCAAAACAACCCATGAGTTATCAGCTAATGTCATATTCACACTGGGAGAAGTTTAGTTTCAGTAAAACATTACCCATAGCATGTTGATTTGAACTTTTCCAGATTGGTAGTTGTATTAGAGTCTCATTTATAATTAAACCCAACTCAAACTCACTTTGACAAGAAAGAAAAATTATTCATATAGTAGAACAGTCTCAGGGCTGTTTAGTGTCATCATCAGCTTGACCCAGGAGCTCCAAAACTGTAATTGAAATTGGTTTCTCTTAGTTTCTGGGCTCTGCCTTCTGCTGTGTCAGCTTCATTCTTAAGATTCACGTGGTGGCTTCTGGCAATTCCAGGCCCATATCTTCCTTATCACTACAAGTTCCTGTGGAAAGAGAAAAAGTAGACCCCACACAACTGCAATATTCACCCCAATGCCCCTGTAGCATCACCGGAAGTGTACAGACTGAGTTTTCAATCAGAACCGGGGGTGACGGAAATGTTCCCAGAAGGAAATCAGGGTCCTATTAGCATAATAAGGGTGATTTGGGGTGAAAAAGGAAGAGCAACTCTTTTTTATAGCAGGGTTTGGCAAACTATGACCCATGGGCCAAACCTGTCCTCCTGCCTGTTTTCATTCAATTTACTAGCTAAAATTGATTTTCACATTTTTAAGTAGTTAGGGAGAAAAAAGTTAAAAAAACAATATTTTCTGACAGATGACAATTCTATGACATTCAAATTTTGTGTCCATAAATAAAATTTTATTGGAACACAGCCCCATTCATTCATTTATATATTGTCTATGGCTGCTTTTGCACTGCAATGACAGAACTGAGTAGTCATGACAGAGACTATAAGGCCCACAAAGCTTAAAATATTTACTATCTGACCCTTTAGGAAAAAGTTTTCTGACCCCTGCTCTGTAGGTTTATACCTATGACTTTATTTCAGTACGACATAAAATAGCATTATTGTTGAAATGCTTTAAGTCAAGATGGGGTCTTCAGCAGTATTTTTCCCTCTAAAGTAGAGAACTTTAGTTTCATTGATAGGACATTAATAGCAGGAAATAATTCCAAGCAGGAGTCCAATAAAATAGAGGGAAAATGCACATTAACTAGAAAATAAGGATTCTGATGACAAGTACATTTTGAAATGTCCCTGTGACATCACTTCCAGATTTCCATCCTATTTGATATAACCACATCAGGTGAGACATTTTTGTTCACAAGGGAAGAAGAGTACAGATGTCTGGAAGCATCAAATTGTTCTAGACGTGTTGTTATGCATCTCCCATGTCCAGTGGCTGTTCAGATGAAATGACCCTGCCCATGGCACTGCTGCTGATTCAGCTCTAAGCACTTCACCCAAGGATGACCAATTCATTGCCTAACCAATGGCCTCTGAACACTAAAAGCCCTCAGAGATAAGCTGGTCTGTTAGTTTCTGTGATGGTTAAGTTTGTGTGTCAACTTGACTGGGCCACAGGGTGCCCAGATAGTTGGTCAAACATTATTCTGGGTATTTGTGTAAGAGTGTTATTAGATGAGATTAACTTTTTTTGAGTCAGAGTCTCACTCTGTTTCTTGGGCTAGAGTGCCATGGTCTCACAGCAACCTCAAACTCCTGGGCTCAAGCAATCCTACTGCCTCAGCCTCCTGAGTAGGGACTACAGGCATGTGCTACCACGCCCAACTAATTTTTTCCATATATTTTTAGTTGGACAACTAATTTATTTCTATTTTTAGTAGAGATGGGGTCTCGCTCTTGTCTCAGGCTGGTTTTGAACTCCCGACCTTGAGCAATCCTCCTGCCTCGGCCTCCCAGAGTGCTAGGATTACAGGTGTGAGCCACTGTACCCAGCCTGAGATTAACATTTGAATCAGTAAACTGAGTAAAGAAGATTTCTCTCTGTAATATGGGCCTCATCCAGTCAGTTGAGGCCTGAATAGAACAGAAAGGCTGACCTGGCCTTGAGTAAGAGAGAATTCTCCGGAAGACTACCTTGGACTTCATAGGCACCATTCGCTCTCCTAGATATCCAGCTTGCCACCCCACACAGAAGATTTGAACTTGCCAACCTCCATAATTGCATGAGCCAATTCCTTATAATAAGTTTATATATTTATATTTAAAATGTATACAAATTTACATACATACACACACACACACACACACACACACACACACACACATGTCTCCTATCGTTTCTATTTCTCCGGAGAACAATTTCCTATAGCTGCTATGACACAAAAGATTGGGAACATTCAGGGTGATATGGCCATAGACTAGCTGGCATAACAGATTATTGCAAACTGGATGATTTAAAACAACAGAAATTTATTCTCTCATAGTTCTGGAAGCCAGAGGTCTAAAATCAAGGTGTTAGTAGAGCTTATTCCTTCTGGAAACTCTGAGGGTGAATCCATATGATGCCTCTTTCCTAGTTTCTGGTGGCTGCCGGCAATTTTTGGCATTCCTTGGCTGTGGCCACCCTCCAATCTCTGCCTCCATCTTCACTTGTCCTTTTCTTCTCTATGTCTCTATGTCTTCTTGTCTGTCTTTCATAAGGCCATTCATCATTGGAGTTAGGGTCCACCCTATTCCAGAATGTCATTTCAAGACCCTTACCTTTAATTACATCTACAAAAAAACTTTTATTTCAAATAAGGTCATATTCTGAGGTTCCAAATGGACACAAATATTGGGGGAACATTATTCAACTCACTATAGCTGGGTCAAACAAAATCATATTCTGGGAATTTAAAATAAGAGTGTATACCTGAGGCAACTGATGTTGGGAGCTAATGCTTAAAAGCTATTCTAGAAGGAGGGAAGGGGCAGGAGGAGCCTGGAACAATTCAAGCTTATGAGCAAGATGAAAGGCATGGAAAATCAAATATACCAGAACCTTTGAGGAAGAGAAAAAGTATAGAATAGACTGTAAGGAAGCCACTTGTTAGCAGAAAAAGAAGTGGAAAGACACTAAGAGCAGAGATCAAGAGTATCAGAGTCATGTTAATAACACCAGAGCACTCAAGTGACAATGGTAAAGTCCCTGTAGATGTCTTGGACATGTTCCAGATTCTGAAGATATCTGTTGGTCTTAAGTTTCTTTGAGACTCTTTGTCTCTTTTCCCCAAATATATATTTACAATAATCACCATTATTAGACCTTGTTGAAGGATGTCTCTTTTACTTAAAACCTAAAAAGCTTAACAGCTTGACTATATTTAAAGTAATTGTTGAGTAAAATTTATTTAGTTTATGCCCATTGAGGTCCCGGTTCTTCTAATTAATCTTTTCTTTTTGCTATATTTATAAAATCCTTATAAAAAACTGCTTTGGGTTTTTATAAAAGATAGCTATCTGAGCCAGATCAACCCAACTGATAATTACAATCAAAATGTGACTGACTATTGGCTGGGCATGGTGGCTCACACTTGTAATCCTAGCACTCTGGGAGGCTGAGGTGGGAGGATTGCTTGAGCTCAGGAGTTCAAGACTAGTCTGAGCAAGAGCAAGACCCTATCTCTACTAAAAGTAAACAAATTGGCCAGGCATCGTGGCGCTCACCTGTAGTCCCAGCTACTCAGGAGGACTGCTTGAACCCAGGAGTTTGAGGTTGCAGTAAGCTATGATGATGCCACTGCACTCTACCCAAGGTGACAGAACACAAAAAAAATGTGACTGTTTCACAAAAAAAATGTGACTGTCAACAATGAGCATGCCAGGCATATTAGTCAGCCTTTATTAATAAGGCTACCATAACAACTCCCAAATCACAGTGGTTTAAAACAATGAAGGATTATTTTTCATTCATGTTGCTCAATAGCCATGGGTTGATGGCCATTCTTCTGCTACATGTGTGTTCTTCAGTATCTGAGATATGCTATTTTCAGGGCAGAGGAAAAAGAGGGAGGGAGCTGGCAAAAACACACAAAGATAATCAACACTTTTATTTAGACATTCTGTAAGTTATATCTACTTATATGCCATTGGCCAAACAAGCCACATAGCTGAAACCAACATTAATGGAGCAGGAATGTTTACTCCTTCCATAGAAGGAACTGTGAGTGATAATGGACAGGGATATATAATCCTCTCACAAGAAGGGCAATTACTCAAAGGAATAATAAAATTTACCAGGTTACCATGGAAACTATAATACAGAAAATGTATCAATATATGGATATGACTTTTGCCTGATGATATGCAATTTATGAAGGTCCACTGAAAACCATAATACATATATTTTATATTTAATCATGCATATTTAATCATTACATATTCTTATGTGCAAATTATAACTGTTATTATCTACTATGTATAAGAATCTGGCCGGGCGCTGTGGCTCACGCCTGTAATCCTAGCTCTTGGGAGGCCGAGGCGGGCGGATTGCTCAAGGTCAAGAGTTCAAAACCAGCCTGAGCAAGAGCGAGACCCCGTCTCTACTATAAATAGAAAGAAATCAATTGGCCAACTGATATATATATAAAAAATTAGCCGGGCATGGTGGCACATGCCTGTAGTCCCAGCTACCAGGGAGGCTGAGGCAGAAGGATCGCTCGAGCCCAGGAGTTTGAGGTTGCTGTGAGCTAGGCTGACGCCACGGCACTCACTCTAGCCTGGGCAACAAAGCGAGACTCTGTCTCAAAAAAAAAAATCTGTGCTAGATTTTATATATGTACATATATGTATGTAATTATTTTTTTTCTCTAAAGGAACTTAAAACCAATGGGAGTATTTGTTTCCATAATATACAAACTAGTTATGAAGCATTACATATATATTTAAAATAGTAACGAACTGACCAGTGGAAAAGCTCAGAAATAGTACTACACATACACACAGCCATGTGCATGCATGCATGTGTCTGTATAATAAATTGGTATATGAAAAAAATTAGCACTTTAAACCACTGGGAAGAGAATGAATTATTAAATAATTGGTGATGAGATAACTGACTAATCAGCTTCTAAAAAGGTCCTTATTGCATAATTTGTACCTAAATAGATTCCAAGTAAATTAAATATTTGAATTTTAAAAAATTATAAAAATATTGGAAGAAAATATAAAATGAATGTTTTATAATCATGGAGTAGAGAATGGCTTTCTCAGCATTACATCAAAGATACAGGTTTTGATAGATTTGGGCAATGTGGACACCTCAAACGTAGTCTTCTCCAAAAGGGAGTTAGCTCTGGAGCCAGCCACCCAGCCCTCCACCCTATTCACAGAACTGGATTCTTAGCAACTGTGTTAGAATCACATGACCCTACTCCACTGGCCCTCAATACCTGACCCAACCTGAACCAATCAGGCTTCCATTACAGGGAATTTGTATTTGGAACAAATACACAAATTCATACTCGTTGCTATGTTCAATAGGAAATATGTAAACACAAAAGAGATGGGATGGTCATTTTCCATCTATCTTGTACTTGTAAAGCAAAGAAAGTTGTACTGCCAGGAGATGAAAACGAAGCAGATCCACAGAGAAAGGCACATATGGAGAGAGTACCTAATAGGATTTCAAGTACTTGATTTCAGACACTTTTTGATACCTGGCTACATTGTTGTTCTTGAGTCCTGTGAAATGATTCCACATGGGCTTTGACTCTTTTTGTCTCTTAGTATCTGACCTCAAGAGTGGGCCACACACTCTTGCTTCCTGCCTAGGGCTTCTGTGGCACTGTGGTGTAGGACAATGCAGGGGCCCACTGGGACTGACTCGGGCACCCCAAAGGGCACACCAGCAGTAGGGGAAATGCTTCTTATTTTGTGTCTTAGACAAAGGTCTGCATAAGGTCTCATTAAGGACATGCCCCGATCTTCTGCAGCAGGGCCACTGGTAATGCAGTCTAGCATTGCCTTTCTCTTCTTCACTATTTCCCTTTCCTTGGTCCCCCACTCCTGCTCCCTATAATCACATACCAAAGAAAGACCTGCAGGCAACCCTAGCCCAGGCTCTGCTTTGGAGGAAACCCAGAATAAGCAAGTTGATAGCAGAAATGTCCATAGAAAGAAAACCCTTAAGACATATTCTAAATCTGGATTACCCACTGGTCAGGCAGCTAAAAGAACCCCACTGCTGGTTCTTTTATATATGCAGGTAGTTTATGAGATGGTCATAATCTCTGGTGGCTTCACAAAATGGCTTCACAAATTGCAATCGTCTATGTTAGATTGGGATATGGTGGCAGAAGAAGGTGAAGGATGGGTTATGTGGTATTTTGGCACTAGAAGAGGTGATAATGATAAGAATTGTAAAAAAAAAAAAAAGGAATTAATAGAATGGTTTGGCTTTTGTTAACTTCTTTTAAAATCTTGATAAAAGAAAACAACATATTCATGTCATCCAGCTATTAACTCAAGTCCCACTATCAAAACAACAAGTCCTCCATGGCAGTATTTAAAGAGACTCCCAAATAAAACACAGGTATTTTTGATAACTGGTACTGGATATCCATATGGAAAAACAAATTTTCCCTCTACTTCACACTATACCCCCAAATTCATTCTAGATGGATCATGGACCTAAATGTAAATGGCAAAACAGTAACGCTTCCAGGAGAAAACACAGAAGGATGTATTCATGACCTTTTGGTTAAATATAGCATAAAGAACATTAGCTATAAGAGAAGACTTATAAACCTGTCTTCATTAAAATTAAGAACTTCTGCTCTTCAAAACACAGTATTAAGAGAATTAAAAAGCAAGCCAAATACTTGGAGCATAATTCAACAAAGTACTTAGATCCAAAATATAAAAAATTCCTACAAATCAGTAAGAAAAAAACGCCCATATAGCCCAATTTCTAAAAACTGTCCCCAAACAATTTTCACAGAGTATAAACAAATGGCAAAATGCATATGAAATGCAATTAACATCATTTATTCATCAAGGAAATGCACACTAAAACTACAATTTGATACTATTACAGTCTCAGAAGAATGACAAATGGAAAAGACTGCCAGGATGAAGTAAGTACATGATGAAGATGTGGAGCAACTGGAACCTTTTGTGTTTCTGGTAGGGGAGTTTCAGTACAAGCACTTTGAAAAACTGCTTTTTGGCAGTTTCTATTTAAAGTTATAGGCACATATAGCCAATGACTAAGCAAATTCTCCTGGAAAATTCTACTCCCAAAAGAAATGATTATGTCCACCAAAAGTCCTGTGTAAGAATGTTCATAGCAGTTTTATTATAACAGTACAAACTGGAAATAACCCAAATGTCCATCAACAGAAGAATACTTAAATGAATTGTGATATGCTATGTAATGCTAATCAGCAATGAAGAAAAACTACTGCTTCACATAACATAAATGTGTCTCACAGACATAATGATGAGCAAAAGAGTACAAACCATGAATCCATTTACATGAAGTTAAAGAATAGGTAAAATCAATTTATGTTGAAAAAATTCAAATAATGATGCTATTGTGAGTGGAAACATTGATTGAGGGGAAAACATGAAGAAGCCTTCTAGAATACTAGAAATGGTCTATATCTAGATTGAGTAGAAATTATAAGGGTGTAGACACACATAAATATATATCTAGACCTACATTTAGATCTGTACTTTGCAGCATGTAAGTTATATTAAAAAAAAAAAAAGTAAATAGAGAAAAGGAAGAAAATGAAAATAAAAGGATCCTCATTACCTGTAGCTGAAAGGCAATGTATGCTGAAAAATCAAGCCCAGGATTTAATTTTAAGAGTGGTAAAGCTAACTGCAAAAGAGACTGAACATATAACCTCAAAAAGCTTTCTATGCCAAAGCCAACACCTTGATAGGAAAACTGGTATCCTGACAGCATAAATCTAAATATCTTAAACCCTCAGATCCCTTGAATCTTCTGCCAAAAGTCGTCCTCTTCCCTTTGCTAGAGAGGAAAATGTCACAATGCCTGGAAGCTTTGCAAAACCTCACCTGAGTCAGGTGTCTTGTAAGACAATGCTTTTTTTTTTTTCCTCCAAGATCTACTACCACACCCCTCATTGTCTCAGGAATAACAAGGGTCTAGTGGGAAAACCCTTCTCTTACACAATCAAAACAATTACAGGACCAGAATAAGAAATACTGGCAAGAATAGAAGAGTATGTGTGTGAGAGTGGATCTCAAGGGTATTGAACCAGGATAGTGGTGAGGGGATAGAATATAAATCTACATAGTGGAGAGTTTGTTGACATTGGAGCACTCTCCTGTGACTTGGGGGTTAGCCTCCTGGGAAGGAAACCTGGAGTCATCCTAATATACTGCTGAGATTGGCTCTTAAAGCTTGGCTGTGTTGATGTCCTACTGTAAATGAGGTAGAGATGCCAGAACTATGTTGACAGAATACTGAAGAAGGGGTCATAAGGCTCAGGGTAGTGAAACTGTTAAAGTAGATGTATTACACTTACTACAGCTGATCAGAAAACCCACTATCTGACTATAATTACCAGGAAGCCCTAAAAGATATTTGTTTCACTAAGGGAATGAGGAATGCACCAAGGAAGTTTGCACTGGGATCTTTGAGAAACTCAATGACACATTTCCTCCATATGTTGAAGAGATGCAGCCTTGACACTGGCCTTCTAGTTATAAACAGAGATGACAGGATTCTAGAACGGCAGGAGCCAGGGAGTGGCACCTAACTGACAGAGGCAATATGGACCTAACTACCAAATAGGCAGCAAGGCTGGAATGGCAATCAGAGTGTCTTGATCTACAGAGATCAGTGGTGGTGGGCAATAGATTATGATGTTCCTAGAAGCAAGACAGTTAGATACTCAATAGGGTGTTATTTATTCACCTTGTAAAACAAAGACACAAAACAACTGCAGAGACAACTGACATCAGCTGCAAAATGGAAAAATATTGTGGTTTTCATTCAGTTTTAAGCCAGTTCATTGCCCAGAGCCCATAATTAAACAGGAGTATAGGTCTCCTTGAGGAAGGACCATAAAATACCTCCACAAGTATGCACAATAAATATTCCCTCCATTATTCCCTAAAAGCTCTTGCAGCCATTTTCTAGCGAAACTGTATCCTGGGGTAAGGGGTCTTTCCAGACCTTTTGAGGACTTTTACATAACAGGGGCTGATCTGACGCTGAAACAAACAAACCCAAAATGCCAACATACACCACTGGGTAGAATAAGGACTTATGAAGGCCAGGTGATAATATGTGGTTCTGGCCCTAGTTCATGTTACTGTGAGTCCAAAAATTCTGCATAATAGAATCCTGAAGAATAGGAAATAACCTATCATCATTAGAATAGATAAGCTGAATGCTCAAGTTTATTCCGTATTATGGAATACATCCCTCCTGAACACTTTTCCTTATTTCTAATAGGAGAATATTAAGACGGTTCTTCTGTACTCCTCCTTTAAGTACCTCCATCTATGGAATCTTTATCATCTGGGCATGAGATTCAAACTTTAATAAACTCTTTTAATTCACTAGTTTTTTTCTGACTTGGTATTATTGGTAATATTTTCCTCTTTTTCCTACCACACATGTTTATAGTGTTATTCCATTTCTATCATAAATTAAACTTTTCTAATCACACTCATTCCCCATGAATTTGTGACTAAAAGAATCCAAGTATTAAACATTAAACTCCACTGAACTCTCTTGTACCATTTATTTCCCTTGGTCTTAATCATTTACTAGGTGCAGTATGCAAAATAATGGCCCTGATCATAGTTCATTTGGGCTGCTATAACAAAAATACCATTGACTTGGTGGCTTCTAAACAACAGAAGTTTATTTCTCACAGTCCTGGAGGCTCAGAAGTCCAACATCAAGGTGCTGGGAGATACAGTGTGTGGCGAGGGCTCACTTCCGGTTTCATAGCCATTTTCTTGCTGTGTCCTCATATGGCAGAAGAAACGAGGGGGCTTTCTGGCTCCCTTTTATAAAGGCACTAATCCTATTCATGAGGGCTTTGCCCTTATTACCTAATCACCTCCCAAAGGCCCCACCTCCAAATACCATCATACTGGGGATTAGGTTTCAATATTTGAATTTCGGGGGGCACAAACATTCATCTATAGCAGCCTCCAAAGATGTCCATATTCTGTTCCTCAGAACCAGTGAATATGTTAGGTTACATAGTAAAGAGGATTTGAGATTGTAAATCAAGTGCTAATCAGCTGATCTCAAGGTAGGGAGATTCTCCTGAATCAGCCTGGTGAGCCTAATATAATCACAAGGGTTCTTAAAAGTAGAAGAGTGAAGGCGAAGAGAGAACTGGAAAGATGCAGCATAGGAAGGACTCAGCCCAACATTTCTGTCTTTGAAGGAGGCCACAAGCCAAGGAATGTGGGTGGCCTATAGAAGCTAGACAAGGCAAGGAAACATACCTTCCCTGAGCCTCCAGAACAAATGCAGTCCTGCTGACACCTTGATTTTAACCCAGCGAGTTTCATTCCAGACATCTGACCTCCCAAACTGTAAGATAATAAATTTGTTGTGTCACCAAATTTGTTTAAGTCACCAAATTTGTGGTAATTTGCTACAGCAACAATAAAATTAACATACCAGGATTACTTATTTATCTTTTTAGGTATTTCGACATCATTCTATTAAGTGATTGTAAATTCTGAGAAGATGGGTATCAAGCCTCACACATCTTTATAGCAGACTTCATAATAGTGTATTGAGCATAGAATATGTTAAATCTGATTCTAAGAATCCAGAAAGAAGAGGAGAGAGTTAAGCCACTAAGATGCTATATACTGATTTTTAGATGTCGTATCTATACACATGTCTGCAGAGTAGTCATTCTTAGCTATCTACCAGAGGACAGTAATGCTAAGTTGTAATAATTCTGATAGTGGCTCTAAGTATTTATAATAGTATTAAACAACTCTCCTGAGCCACACTTGAAAGGGAGGAATGTGACATGTATGCAGCTAAGACATTCTAAGTCATTAATTCAATACACATTGATGTGAAAGCCTTCAGATTGCTTTTTATTTTTAGTTTTTTGAGACAGAGTCTCATTTTGTTGCCTAGGCTAGAGTGAATGCCATGGCATCATCCTAACTCACAGCAACTTCAAACTCCTGGGCTCAAGTGATCGTCCTATCTCAGCCTCCCGAGTAGCTGGGACTACTTACTCAGCATGGTTCACCACCATGTTGGCTAATTTTTTTTTTTCTATTTTTAGTTGCCTGGCTAATTTTTTTCTGTTTTTAGTGAAGATGGGGTATCGATATTGCTCAGGCTTGCCTTCAACTCCTTACCTCAAGTGATCCTCCTTCCTTGGCCTCCCAGAGTACTAGGATTACAGGCGTGAGCTACTGTGCCCTGCCCAGATTGCTTTTTATAAATGTGATTCCATTGTTGCACTGCTGTATGCTAAACCAATAGTATACAAAGCACACATTCACAGTGTGCTTATTAAGAGCCACTGCAATCCAAAAGGTAGGGCCTCTTACCATCCCCATTCTGAGGAACCTGAGGGGCAGATTAAGTTGCTCAATGACATGGAGCTTGTAAGTAGTAGAGCAGTGATTCAACCCTGTTCAGCCTGTTTCCAGAACCTCAACTTTGAATTTTAACTTATACTATCTTACTAACTTATCATGAATTCCCTCATGTCTCAGGCCTGCAGTGTATAGGCAAAAGGTCAACAAATGTTAAACATAGGTAGCTCTTGATCCATTCTCCTAACTTTTTCTAATCACATTTGTTTCCTGATCAGAATATGGAAAATATACTCAACTTGAATCTCTATACTTTTCTGGATAATTTTCACTTTGCATAAATTTCTGCCTTCATGAACATTTGGATTAGAAATTAAATTTGACATTTAGGTTCCCAAAGAACATATTCTTATTCCATTTGTGAACATTAGATTCTCATCTATGTAAAATAATTTCAAGTACAAATAATAAATATATCCAGTTGGTGAAATTTTGTGTGACTTTTGTGTCCTTTGACCTTTATTTTCTGAATTCTTTTTTGAGAGAGACAGGATCTCTCTCATGCTCAGGCTGGTCTCAAAGTCCTGAGCTCAAGTGGTCCTTCTACCTTGGCCTCTCAGAGTACTAGGATTATAGACATGAGTCACTGCACCTGACCATTCTATTTTCTAAATACTTTTATTGAATCCTATTCTACATGAATATATTAGAATTTATTTTGCCAATATCTAATCACCTTTTTTTTTCACATTTCAGTTGTGAGAAGCAATGCCACAGTAAGCATACTTATAACTAAATATCTCTGTACTTTCATTATTTCTTTAAGATACATTATCAATTTTTTTGTATTTTCCAATGTCTTCCTCTAGTTCTATTGTTCCTCAGGCATGGGCTCCTGCTCTAAAACATTATGCCATTAATACATGTCTTTGAATGTGTGTATATTCTTTAAATATATATGTATAAATAATATAGACATAGTATTTTATGTGTGCAATTCTTAAATATTTATGAATTCCACTGTGCTGTAGATCTTGCTATTTTTTTTTCACTAGTGCTATCTATCACTTTAAGATGAAGTCATGTTTAGTATGTATATGTAAAGGTCTTCTTGTAAAGAACTAAGTCTTAACTTGCCTTCATTTTTGACACTCAAGAGAAAGTCTAACTTGTAAAATTCTCTTAATTCTTCACCAAGGAAATTTGCACTGACCTGAACAAACCTGCTATGTTAGTGTTAGAGAGATGGAAAGGAAAAAGAGGCCAGAGAAAACAGGTACTGTTCCACCTCATGTCTTCCCAGATTCCAGAAGAGAAGGTGCTATGGTTTGAATGTCCCCTACAAAACTCATGTTGAAATGTATTTGCCATTGTGATGGTATTAAGAGGCAGAACCATTAAGAGGTGGAACCATTAAGAGGTGATAGGTGAATGGATTGATGGCCTTATTGTAGGAGTGAATTCTTAATAAAAAGCCAGTTTGGCCCCTTCTGCTCTTGCACTCTCTTGACCTTCTACCTTCCACCATAGAGTGATGCAGCACAAAGGCCTTCACCAGATGCTGATGTCATGCTCTTGGATTTCTCAGCCTCCAGAACCACAAATCAAATAAAATTCTGTCTATTATAATTTACCCAGTCTGTGGTAATCTGTTATAGCAACATGAAAAAGACTAAGACAGAAGGGTACCCAAATTCTAGGTGACAACAGTGGATAAGGACAGTAAGTGCCCCAAGGCACAGCCTGGGATGATAGGAAAGACATATGACACTAGGGGAACATTCCTGAGAGAACAAATGCAAGAGGCAGCTCACCTTGTGGCTAATAGAGTCTTTTTTGCCAATCTTCTTGGGTTTGAATCAGCATAACATAATTTACTGACCTTGAATACGTTACCTTCTTTGTGACTCAGTTTCCTCATCTACAAAATGAGGTTAAATACTAGTGCGTCCCTAAGAACACTATATAAGTACTAAATGACCAAATATGTGTACAAATCTTAGAATGGTGTCTGGCATATTGTGAGTGCTCCGTAAATGTTTGCCCCATGTATGAGAGCAGTAGTCTTCAAAGTGGGCTCAGGCCTACCTGGCTCTAGGCACCTGCCCCCTTGCTTTTTCTCAACCATGCCAGGAATCCTCCTGCCTCAAGGTCTTTGCACATAGCTTCCTGTGCCTCCAATGCTCTTCTCATATCTGCATGACTGGCTCCCTCACCACTCAAGATCTTGCTCAGATGTCACCTTCACAGTGGGATTGTCCTTTACCACACATGAACCAACTCCCATCCCCCCCTCCTTCCCTGGTTGATTTTTCTCCGTATCGCATGTCACCATATCTTATACATCATATTTTTCTTATTTAAAAAAAAATCTGTCCACTCCTCACTTCCCACCTCCATACCAATAATACATAAGCTCTCTGAGGGTAGATATTTTTGTTTTGTTTGCTGATATATCTCTAATACTGAGAACAGTACGGGGATACTACAGGTGCTCAATAAATATTCATTGAATCATGAATAACTATTTCATTATATATCCATTCTCTTATTTAGGCATATTTAGAAATGTATGTTGCCTCCAATCTTTGCTGTTACAAACAATGGTGTGAATAACATTTTTATATCTATTTCCTTGTGCACATGTGAATTTATCTAGAAGTAGGTCTACTGTATCACGAATTAAGCACAACTTTAAATTTACTAGGTATTACCAATCAACTCTCTGAAGTGGTACTTATTTGAATCCCCACCTATAAGGTATGAGACTCCTGTTTCACCTGTTTGACAGTATTGTGAATTTTTTTTTTAATTATTGTCAATCTGAATTGACATGGTATTTCATTTTAATTTGCATTCAACCAATTACTAGTGAGTTTGAATACCTTTTCATGTGTTTATTGATCATTTTTATTTTTTCCTCTATGAATTATATTTTTATATCTTTTGCCTACATTTTTAATATATTCTGGAAACTAAACTTTTGTCAATTACATGTGTAGCATGTAGCTTCTGCAGTGTCTACTGTCTTATAACTTTTTTTTTTTTTGATACACGGTCTCACTCTGCCACCTAGGCTGGAGTGCAATGGCATGATCATGGCTCACTATAGCCTCCAACTCGTGGGCCCAAGCAATCCTCCCAACTCAATCTCCCGAGTAGCTGGTTTTACAGGTGTGTGCCACCACGCTAGGCTATCTTTTCATTCTTTGTAGAGATGGGATCTCACTATGTTGCTCAGGCTGGTCCCAAACTCCTGGGCTCAAATGTTCCTCCCATCTTGGCCTCCCAAAGTACTAGGTTTACAGGCACAAGCCACCATGGTCAGACTTATAACTTTTTATATATGTCTTATAACTTTTTAAAAAAGTGATTTTTGATGCATAGAAGTTGGCATTTCATTTCTTAAAGGAAAATTGTTCCATGTTAATTATTTCTTAAAGGTGTTTAGAAATTTCTTACATATATAGATTTTAAAATACATTTTGGAAAAACTACACAAGCATCTACTTTTCAGCAAGATCTATTAGTACCTTATAGAGTACTAGTCGTCCATGCACAGATTTGGGGAAATGCTTCTCTAAGAAATAGGGAAGCACAGGAGATTTTTGAGCAAAGTAGAGACATGATAGAAACAGAATACAGAACAGAGAATAATCCTTATTGTTCCTTATTGTTTTATGTGAGGAATTTTGTCTCCGCCATCTTGAGTTTACAGATTTGGTTAAAATATCTTGACTGGTTTATATGATGGCTGAACTTAATTCCACTTGAAGGTCTTGTTTTATCAAAACATTTGACTAAGCTAAAATCATTCTGCATGTTACTCCACCAAGAGCCTGGGAAACCTGTTTTCTGAAATACATTATTAGGAGCTCTGTCTGACTAACTTCATATATAAAAGGTTTCATGTGGTAATATCCTGGTTATTCTAAAAGATTTAATATTTTGGACTGAAGTAATGGTATGTAGTCAGATATATTCACTTTAGTATACCTAAATGCCTGATGATTATCAATT